GTGCAGAGTCAACTCTTCCAGTGGGCAATCATACATGGCTACTCATGGGCTCATGAGGCACACATTAATGCGCTGGAACTTCAAGCTGTCTTGAATTCAGTAAAGTGGCGCCTTAGGCGCGGCAGCAACTGCTGTCATCGTGCGCTGGTTTTGGTTGACTCTCAGGTGGTTTGTGCAATCATTGCTAAAGGCAGAACAAGCAGTGGTAAACTGAGGAGATCGTTGCAGTCCCTTAACGCCTTTTGTCTCGCAGCAGGGCTTTTCCTTGCGGTTGCCTATGTAGACACAGGAAATAATCCTGCAGACATTCCGAGCCGATGGTGCGAGCAGCCCAGCCAAAAGCAAGGCCAAAGCTCACTTTGAGAGAGCAACAAGTGACCCCGGCGATGAGCCGGAGATACTCCATTGCTGTGCTGGCGTTCCTCAATTTTCTGTGCGACTCCAGCATGGTCATTGGCCAGATCTCTCAGTTTGATGATGCCGCGTGCGCTTGGCTGGAATTCTTGTATGCGGATGGGCAGCGCAAAGGCCTCGCGAGTGATGGGCTCGCTGGGATACAACACTTCCTGCCCCGGTGCATTGGCCGCTTACGGCAAAGCTGGAAACTACTTAAAGTGTGGCAAAAAGTTGAACCGCCGATGCGTGTCCTACCAATCAGTCCCTTAATTCTGCTGGGCATGGCTGGTTTAGCGGCAAGACTTGGCCTGCAAGACGTAGCTGCAGGTCTCTTGGCTTGTTTCGATGGCATGCTAAGGAGTGGGGAGCTCTACAACCTCACGATGGGCGATGTCACTTTTTATCGCCAGCATGCAGTGCTTCGTTTAGGCCTGACTAAAAGCGGCAAACGTACTGGCAGGGAAGAGATGGTCGTCATCAATAGCCTGCTGGCAGTGACGTGGCTGCGACGCGCGTGCCGACGACGGTCTCCCAGCGAGCCCTTGCTGCGAAGAGGCGCGGATCATTTCCGCAAGTGTTTCAAACTTTTCCTTCAAGCCTTTGCGTTGGAAGACCTTTTGCTTAACGTGTACTCGCTTAGACGGGGTGGTGCCACGTGGGATTTTTTGTCGCGCCAGAGTATGGAACGAACACTGCTGCGTGGCAGATGGGCTTCCACATCATCTGCCAGGATATATTTGCAAGACGCAACAGCGATGGTCGCTCACTTGAGATTAGATGATTCACAAGTTCGCCTGCAACCTCTGCTGCAGAGGTTCTTCGATCGGCAACAGCCAGGGTGGAAACGTGAAAGAGGTGTCGTGAAGTCTGCTTTGGCATGGCAGACTGTGGGTCATGACTTTGATCCTTGAGCCCTTGAGCTTGTGCTGGCAAGTTCTCTCTCTTTTCAATCACGACATCTTGTCCCCTCTTTTAATTGAAGAGGTTTCACAACAGATGGGTGCTCCATCTACAAACCAACCCTGGCGTGCACTGGGAAAAGGATTTCAGTGCATTACATGGTATCATGTGAGATCTGCTGTAGGCTTGCCGTAGGCAGTAGGAACGTGAGCATGTTATGCACAGATCCTGCATGCTCGCCGCTTGTCGCAGATCTTTCTCTCCCACCCTCCCACCCTGTGGATTCAGTTCCGATAGGGTTGAGGTGTGGTGGAAAGAGGTGTCGTGAAGTCTGCTTTGGCATGGCAGACTGTGGGTCATGACTTTGATCCTTGAGCCCTTGAGCTTGTGCTGGCAAGTTCTCTCTCTCTTTTCAATCACGACATCTTGTCCCCTCTTTTAATTGAAGAGGTTTCACAACAGATGGGTGCTCCATCTACAAACCAACCCTGGCGTGCACTGGGAAAAGGATTTCAGTGCATTACATGAATAAACCGTAATCCCTGATTCGTGGCCCTGTATGAGGTACACGCGCCCACCGTACGAAACCCGGGAGCCATCGGTGAACTTAATCTTGAACGACGTGAAAAGGTGCCTGCGAAGTTTTTGTGTTTAGTTTCGGGTTGGGGTGGCTTGCTGTTTTGGGGCCAGGGGATTCGGGTTTCTTCAAGAATAAGGCGGTGTCTGCGTTTCTTTGGGCTTATAGTAGTTTATATGGCGTATCATCTGCACCCAGTATCAAGAGGACGATGCACAGACAGCCTGTCACCGAAGACACTGAAGACACCACCCTGGCTTGCCAACCAGCATTTCAGTGGTGGTCACAGCAGAATCAATAGCTAAAGAACAAGTGCTACCTGTCGGGCACAGTGGCAATGATAGGAGTAGAAGTATGAATAGCACCTAATGCGAATGCGCGTGCGGTGACCGTGACACTATCGACCAATCATCGGAGGAGGCTTTGGGCCGCTAAGCCCAGTGCTTGTCGTAGACTCAGTTTAGGGTTTAGGGTTTAGGGTTTAGGCTTTAGGGTTTAGGACAGCGAACGAAGCACGCCGCGACCTGGGCGAGCAGGCCTACAGGACTTGAGCTGAGTAGTTGCAGGTTAGAGCTTCGGGCGCGCTGTCCCACTCGAAATCCTGTGGCCCCTATCAGGTGGCAGAAGCTCATCTTGGACCTCGAGCCAGATTTCGCCGAATTGCGGTCGAGGATCCCGATTGGGAGTTGGGGACCTGGGGTGCAAGATAGAGGGCTCCGCATTTCAATAGAAATTTTTGGAGGGTTTTGCCGCTAGGACTTCACACAGGGTTGTAAGCTTCATCTGTCTGTTGAGGGGGGTGCTGTTTACACTGATGTGTCACAGCCTTTCAAAAAGCCGCTTAAACAAACATGTGAGCATATACTGCTAGGGCGGGGTAGCTTATAAGACGATGAAGGTGCAGTCATGGGTCATGATGGTGACCATAGCGACATTGATGGCACTGCCGCTTCCAGCAGGAATGCACCGAAATATCCAACCCGAAGCCGTATGTAGTCCCATCATATCCGCTTCTCCGGGAAACGGAAGCTGTAAGCCGCAGACCCTAAACCACTTGCCGCAGACCTTGAACTCCTCATATAGGGGCCTGAATAATTACCAATACTGTCTTCGGGGTTCCTTATTATAACCATAGTAGAATGGGCCCCCAAAGCCCTGCTCTAATTATTACGGCCCCTACATTAGACCCTTGCGGCAAACCTTGAACTCCTACACATTTCTCAGCCCTCCGAGCACTATTCTTGCAGACGTCCTCTCGAACCAACCCTATAAACCCCAAACCCTAAACCCTAGCTGGAGTATGGAGGTCTGACTGAGTTAGGCTCCCATGGTTACCTTCTATAGGATCCGAAATAGAAGCCACAAAAATCAAAAGGAACCACAATGGAGCCTAAGGGTACATTGTACCCGAGAAGCCTGTTCCGCTTATTTTAAGGCCCCACCTATTAGAGGCTTAAGGGTTTAGGGTTTAGTAGTTTAGGGTTGAGGGTTGAGGGTTTAGGGTTTGGTTCTTATTAGAGGGTTAAGGGTTTAGGGTGTAGTAATTTAGGGTAGAGGGTTGAGGGTTTAGGGTTTAGGGAAGTTTAGGGTTAGGTTTCGGGTTTAGGGCCTAGGGTTACTTGAGCCCTCGGAGAGGACTGCAGGCATGGCCTTGGGGGAGCATCTGGAGGTCCCGTGGGTAGAACTGCCCAGCTTCAATCGGGGGAGTCCGAAAATTAGGGTTTAGGTTTTAGGGTCTAGTAATTAGGGTTTAGGGCTTAGGGTTTAGGGGTTTAGAGGTTTAGGTTTTAGGGTTCCATTTGACATGGATGTTTCCGAAAATTAGGGGCACTTTTATTGTGGGGTCCATATAATAAGGATCCTACTATTTAGGGTGCTATATTAGGGCCCCCTCTTTTCGGAAACCCCCATATCGGGCTTGCGGTTTGCGGTTCAGAGCTAGGAGGGCACACAGTACACAGATAGAATCAGATGCACAAAAGTGCAAACAAAGAAACACCAATGCAAATAAACAGAAATGGATACACACCCTAAACCCTAAACCCTGTCAATCTAAACCTAAGCCAGAATCCGGACCTAAGCCGTGCAAAAAACAGAACTGAAACGCCTCGCTTAATTACGGGTTCCCGATCTAGAGTGAGTCAGGAGTTCAGACTTTAGGGTTTAGGTAGGTTTGGGAGTTCAGGGTTTCGGGTTTGCATGTCGTAAGCCCCGGATCTTGAATCAAACACCTAACAGCATTCCCCGCAGAGAAACAAAAACCACGTCCAGTGGCGACGGCAACAGCAACAGCACCACCAACACCACCAACAGCAACAGTTTCCGAACCGTGACCAGGCAGTATGTGAATGTATTGTGTATATGTGTATGTTTGTATGTGTGTATATATATATATACACACATGTATGGGTACTTTCTGGTGCTGTAGACGGTCTGCGACATGGGCCCAGTTCTGTGCATTCAAGCACCGAGCTCGCTGAGTAACCAGTATACGTCTGACAACGGCCAACACCATTTAGAAATTTATTCCTGCCGTGTTGCCTATGTTTGCACCGGCTCTTGAAGGCAGTCTTATAGCCAGGTCATCATACTCTATACAAATCTTATGTCATACCTATAAACCGCTAGTTCTTCTAGCTTGCTAGCAAGGCTCCAGTACGAAGCTCTGTTGAACTGTATACAGATCTTATAATATTTATAACACTGCCTTATGACTACTGTTCGATATTTAATTAAGGCCCCTCTATTGCAATTCTTCATTTGTGTTCTTGGACCGGCTCTTTGGTTCAGAAACCCTAAGAAACCCAAACCCCAAACCCCAAACCCCAAACCCTAAACCCTAAACCCTAAACCCTAAACCCCTAAACCCCTAAACCCTAAACCCTAAACCCCCAAACCCTAAACTCGCAAACCCTATAAACCCTAAGCCCTAGGTGTAGGGCCACAGGTCGCCGTGGCGAGTCTGCTTCGGTATTGCCCGGACTTCACTACGAACGTGCCGTGGCAGATGCTACAGAGGCCTTTAGGGGGGTTTTAGGGTTTAGGGGTTTAGGGGTTTAGGGTTTAGAGTTTAGGGTTTACACTATTTTAGGGGCTCCTTATTATAAGTATATTATAATACACCCCGAAACCCTATTCTAATTCTGGCCCCTGTATTAGGTTCGGACCGGAGGGCGAAGAGCTTTGATGTAGCGGGCCTTCATAATTAGTCACAACTCACAACTAGAATAGGGTTTCGGGGCCCATTATAAGATGCTTATAGTTATATTACAAGGCTCCTGCAAGGCTTTTACTTGTTTTGGGTTTCACAGGCTCTGTAAGGGTTTTTATCCTTATTTTACGAGGTTGCACAAGGATCTATAGGGTTTGGCCCTCCAGGGGTCAAGGCTTGCAGGGTAATGGAGTTCCTTTTTGGAGTTACCTTACAGGATCCTATACCCTAAACCCCAAAGCCTAAACCCTAAACCCTAAACCCTAACCCTAAACCCTAAACCCAAAGCCACAAAGAGGAACTATCATGGAGCCAGTGGGTATTCCCAGGTCTGATCTCCCAACCTCCTCGCCGCCAAAAATGCTCGCAGAAGCAGCCCTAAACCCTAAACCCTAAACTTTAAAACCCTAAACCCCTAAACCCTAAACCCCTAAACCGTAAACCCCTAAAAACTAAACTGTAAACCCTAAACGCCTAAACCCTAAACCCTAAAGACCTCCGCCATAAGACCCCAAAGGCCCTATTGAACACCCCCAGCCCCCCCTTCCCCCCACCCTCCTCAAAAAAAGAGAGAGATACCTTGTAAAGACCCTCTAAGCACTTCGAAAAGCCTTAAGCTAGGTTCAAAACTCACCCCGCCCCCCCCACCACCCCTAAAAAAGGAGAAAGACCCTGTAAAGACCCTTTTTCGCACCTCAAAAAGCCCGAAGTTCGCCCCCAGACCCTGACTACCCCAAAGGCTCCATGTACCTTTATAGTAGATACTTAGGCCTTAAAGTGGTCCCTATATAGGTACTTTAAGGCTTAAGTATCTACTATATGGGTACATGGAGCCTTAGGGTACAGTGCCTTTCGGAGTTCCGGCCAAGGTCCACTTCCACGTGGGCTTCGAGATGTGGTATCAGCCATTCTCCGAGTTGGTAGGCACCCCGGGCTTCTTCAGGGTTTAGGGTTTAGGGGTTAGGGTTTAGGTCTTAGGGAATATGGGAAGATTGCTAACACAGGGTCGCTTTGGGGTCCTTTTTACAAGGGTGCCGTATTATGTTGGGGGCCGGAACAGGGGCCCCAAGTTACAGAACTACCCAAAGGGGTTTGTTTTTCGAACAAAGTAGTAAAACTCCGAGGGGGGATGCAAACACCCCAGTGCTTGCATGATGGTCTTAAGGGTGCGTAAGGCTTAGGCTGTAGGGTTTAGGCTTCGCGCATATAAGGCTTTTGGGCTGTTTTCAGGGCTTACCGGGCTTGCATAAAATTCAGTCGCACTTTAAGTATGAAACCAAAACCCTAAACCCAAAACCCTAAACCCTAAACCAAAAACCCAAAGGCTTAAACCCAAGCCGTGTAGGTAGGGTTTAGGGTTTAGGGTTTAGGGTTTAGGGTTTAATAGCCATTATTTGGGGCCACATACCCTTATTTTTGGGTACAGGGAGGGTTCTCATGCGCACCGACCCGCTTATTGTTCCTTCAAGCATCTGCACATTGTTGCATATTAAAAATTGAGTTGAGCACTGTCTGTATGTACATGTTTGTATATGTATGTGCGTGTGTGCGTGCTTGTATGTATGTGTGCATGCATG